GTGCCCGGGGGCGGAGGGCAGGCTGAGAGTGGCCACGTCCCCCTTGTCCAGCTGGGGGGAGAGGGGAGGGCAGGACAATAGTTAACCAGAGAGATGGTGAGAAGCTGTTTTCTCGTCCGGCTGGTTAAGCATTTCCCAACCACACCACTGGCACCCCAGGAAGAAGCCAGTTAGAGGGCACAGCAACAAGAGAATTAAGTTTTTTTTTTTGGAGGGCTGGTGTTGGCCAAAGAATTCCAGCAGTTGGCTTCTGGAGCGCCCACCGCTGGGAGCTGGGCTCTGACTTTGTGCCCTGGCTCCATGCAGAGATGGGACCCACGTTTCTGGGTGCTGGCCACCCAGTGCCAGCCAGGGGAAAAGGAGCGAGGAGCTGAAACTGGAACCCACCATCGAACCTCCCACCAAACCACCAGTGAGAGCAGAGACTGCACAACCCAGAGGTATTTTATTCTTGTTTTCAGACTTGGGCTTTTAGCCTAGATCCACACAGGAGTTTTTCAAAGAAACTGCCAGAACCCAGCTTGGGGGCGACTTGGGAGCAGCTCCTGGTCCCCTGGAAGTGGCTGTAGGGGCAGGGATCCCTTTCCCTTTCCCTTTCCCTTTCCCTTTCCCTTTCCCTTTCCCTTTCCCTTTCCCTTTCCCTTTCCCTTTCCCTTTCCCTTTCCCTTTCCCTTTCCCTTTCCCTTTCCCTTTCCCTTTCCCTTTCCCTTTCCCTTTCCCTTTCCCTTTCCCTTTCCCTTTCCCTTTCCCTTTCCCTTTCCCTTTCCCTTTCCCTTTCCCTTTCCCTTTCCCTTTCCCTTTCCCTTTCCCTTTCCCTCCTTTCCCTTTCCCTTTCCCTTTCCCTTTCCCTTTCCCTTTCCCTTTCCCTTTCCCACCTGGCAATGCCAGAGTCCTCCTGCAAACACAAGCTGCCACCTGCAAAGTTTGGACATGTGCTGATGTCCACTTTACAGGTGGAAAATTGGAACTTTGGGAGAGGAAATCACTTGCCTGAGGCCACACTTAAAATCCCTGGCAGCCCAGGGTCCTGCCTTGCTCTCTCCAAGTGTGCTGCTTTGCCACTTGAAAAGAAAAAAAATCACTAAACCTTTCCAGTTGTTGCTGGGTTTTATATGCAGATCCTTATGCAAATCTCAGTGGTTGTATAAATGGCTCCTGGCTTCTAATTAAGAGCTGCTTGAAAGTTAAATACTGTTGGCAGACCTGAATAATTTCTGATTTCCATCACACTTTCCCCAGATGACCCTTTAATAGGGATAATGCTGTGAGATCATTATTTAGGAGTGTGTTATCACCAGGAAATGCCTTGTGCAGGAGGGAGGAATGTTCTCAAGATGCTGCTTACGAACACTCCCCTTTGCAGCAGGTCCTGTGCAGGGCTTGGAAAAGCAGGAGGGAATGTTGCCCTCCTGATATTTTCTTGCCTCTCTTCCTCCCCTGGTGCTGTTGTCCTGCTGGGAGCCCAGGGGGGTGTTGATACTTCATCTAGGGGGGGTCTCAGCCTCCTTGTGAGGCAAAAGCAGACAACCAAAAGCTTGGTGGGTGCATCCACAGCCCCCTTCCCATGAAGAAAACTCTTCTCTGCTGTAGCAAGGCTACTGTAACACAGGGCAGGGGCTGGAGGATGAGAGAAAAGGGAGACCCCAGCAGCCTACAGTTGGAGGTGGGGCAGGGCTGGGAGCTGGCTTCAGTCTGGCTGGAACTGCTCTTTTAAAAAAAAATAACTCCCACAAAACCTGCAGTTTTCAGACCCCTCTGCCAGGCTATTCTTAGTTGCTTGGCCAGCCTGGGCTCACCAGCCACCCCCCAGAGGGGTTTTGCTTTGGTTTCTTATCAAGAGGCAGAAATTAGAAGCAGCAGGAAAGAGACTTTTTGCCCAGATGTGCAATATTTTGGTACAGTTAGGAACAAAGGACAAGGCAGTCCTGGAGGTGCCAGAATGGGAAACCCCAGCTGGGCACCGAGGGGAAGAAGTTGCTCAAACTTTGTTTCTAAAGAGGGTAAAAGGTTTGGGAATCACCCAGACCTTTGGGAATCACCCAAATCTTGGCCAATGCTTTGGGCTGATTTGTGGGAGCATATTTGGGAGTGGGGAGGGGAGGGTGGGCAGGATGGGTGCTGAGTGGCACGGATCCCATGCTGCCCATCCGTGCTGATGTGGCTGGGGTGAAATCCTTCCCCCAAGCCCCACCGACAGCTCTGCTCTCTCTGACACAGGGCACGCCCCAGGAAAGCCACATCAGGTTATTGCTTTGAAAACAACCCCCCAAAAAAGACAATACCCATCTCTGCAGCATTAACAGACAGTGCCTGCTAAATCCCAGCAAGCCTAAATGACTGTGCAGTGGATTTAAACGGGGGATTAGTAAAAGCCACAAGAAACCCGTCTGGTAGGCACAGGTAAATGAAAGTGCTGTTTTCCAGCACTTGTTTTCCAGGCAGGCTCAGAGGGGAGAGCAGGGGCTGATGTGGGATGCGGGAGGAATGCAGGAGGCCAAATTATTCTTATCAACAAAGTTCAACCCAGGAGAGCTGAGATATGCAAAAGGCTCAAGCTAATAAGCTGAGCAAACAGTACTTAGAGGGCCACGGCCAGGCACAATTATGCAATGTTGGTTTATTTGCTGCTGGAGGTTTGATGGAGGAAAGCCCGGGTGGCAGGTGAGGAGCTGACTCGGGGCCGTGTCCCCCCCTGGCACACTCATAACTGGGAGAGATTTAAACCCATTCTTAACAAATTGCACAATTATGGCAAAGTTCAGGACCAAACTCTCCAGCCACTCACACCCTGAACTGTTCTTTTCCATGCCCTGTAGCCTACTGGGAAGCACAGAGGATGAGCTGACGCCGTGGTTCCTGCTGCACTGACCCCGAGCGGGGACCTTCCCTGCAAAGTGTGACCCTGGTCCCCAGCTCGGGGGTGAAACTGCTGTGGGAAGGACCCTGTGCACCTTCAAGCATGGGGAAAATAACTACCACCGAGGTGTCAGTCCCACCATGACCACGGAAAGCCAAGAGGGAGAGGCCACAGGGGGCAGAGAAATGCAGGTGGGCAGCAGACACGGGGAGGAGGGGGAGAGGGGGGGTCGATGTTGGGGCAGTCATGAAGTGTGGGTGCTCTTCTCCACAGCACTTCATCCGTGAAATTTAGGACAGCATCTGTCCTCTCAGACATTCCCCCAGCGTTGCTGGGGACACTCTGGGTGTCCCTGGTCCCATCCCCACGTGTGCTCACAGCCCTGTGCCCCCCACAGTGGAGCCCCTGTTCCCTTTAGACCCCAACTCCCACCCCAGGGGTTGAAAACAGCAGCAGGAGCCCTGACTCACACTTCCCACCCTCCTTCCCAGCGGCAGGGATGGAAGCAGGCAGCTCGGTGTCCCCATCCCTGCCCTGCCCACTCCCCCATCACCCCTGGATGGAC